CGTGTTTTCTCCTGAATATGTAGAATGTCTCTAGATTATACGTGAATAGTCTATGTTCAAAAGTTGTCGTGTTTTCTCCTGAATAAGTAGAATGTCTCTAGATTATACGTGAATAGTCTATGTTCAAAAGTTGTCGTGTTTTCTCCTGAATAAGTAGAATGTCTCTAGATTATACGTGAATAGTCTATGTTCAAAAGTTGTCGTGTTTTCTCCTAAGAAGTATTAAATGTGATCTGAATAGAAACGAACTCCATGAAGTGATGGGACCATTGCTTTACAGACAACTACTAGAATGGTCACAAATTCTACAGATGGTTTCATAATGTAATTTACGCATGCGCGAAAAACAGAAATGATATTATTTGTACTCAATATCAAAATTTCATAAATATTTGAGAGCTATTTTCCCCTCTTATATACGGCTTTTGTGAAACCATGTAAGTTGTATACGAGCGGTTATTGTTAGAAAATACCTTTGGAATTAGGTTCTGTAATAGTGCAAACAACCGAGTATTGTTGACGGGATCAATATGTACGATTCTCAACTAATCCTTTTTTTGGTTCGTGGTAATTGAATATTCAAGTAGTAAATGCATTTGTTTGACCTGAACATGCCAGTATATCATTCACGAACTGTCAGCTAAAAATGACGTATGTAATGTATTAGCTCAACACACACACACAGAAACTTCTATAAGCTTTTGTCACACTGGATATTCGTGCTATCATATATGCATTGAAATAATTAAGACCTTAGAGCTCTGGGGGACCAAGAGTAATCAGGTAATTAACAGAAGGCAAATATAATTTATTTTGCCATGTGGTGCTGTTATTTTTAAGTACATACCTAGGGGGCGTATTAAGGTTAACTAACGTTCTATACCAGTGCTTCTGAACTGGGTGAATGGTTCACACAGGGGTGAGATCAGAATCAGGGTGAATGAGAATGATGGGGTGAATGAGTATTATCAATCATACAACAAATTCAAGAACAAAAAAGTCATTAATTATTACTATTTATTCTAGTTGTAGTTTGATGTATATTTAAGTCATAATAAAGAATTTTAAATCTTAATTTAGTACTTGTTTGTTTGTCTTATCTCGAACTGGGGTGAGTGAGCTGTTGTGAATAACTTATAGGGGTGAATGATACTGGAAAGGGTTGAGAAGCACTGGTCAAG